CTGGTGGTCTTCCTCAAACCTGTGGCTGCGGTGGCTGTTTCCAAGATCAAAGAGCGCAAAAACGGTACGGGTTGGTTGCACCATGGAAGCATGCAGTGCAGGCTTTGCAGGAGAGGGTTATCTTACACCTGATTGCAAGGTTGTCAACGACTATTATCAATGTCAGTCAGTGTGAGGAAAGACGCAGACCAAGAAAAAACATATTGTTTGTGTCACCTGGGCTCTGTAGCTGGCTGACCCTCACCAACTTGAATTCTTCCACTCGAATCCTTCTTTTCTCCGAGCGGGGAAGGAAAACCAGGGTCTTGCTTTGCCTGAAAAGAAGTCCCTTCTTTGCTGGTCTTACCCGCTTTACTAAGAACAAAGGGCATCGCTACGAACGCAGCCAGAAGTAGCTCCTGGCCATACTACTAGTAACAAGAAGCTACGAACGTAGCAGCTCTTTGCAGCAAAGGGCGCTAACTAGGCTACAAGGGCGCTAACTAGGCTACAAGGGACGAACACCCACAGAGGCCTTCTTCCAACCGGTCGTGCCAAGCGAGATCTACTTCGACCCTCGATCCGCAGAACATCGAGTCTGAAGGAGTTGAAGAAGGACGATAAAGAAAGAAAACCAAACGAAACAAGCATCAAAACAAGGAGGTTGCCAGGAATGTCCAGCTTAACCACCCAACAAAAAATGCTGTTTCACATGTGTTGACCCACTCACCTTCAACAAAAGAGACGAATTTTTGCGTGGCACCTCATATACACCCGTCCCTCCAAGAAAAAAGCCGGGCCGCCCACGGCCGTCCTCATCGCCAACGGAAGAGAGTCGCTGAGGACCCGGTGAGCCTCCGTCCAGCGCATCCGAGCATCCGTTGTTTTTGTTGTGGTTTTTGTAGAGGTTCCACCTGTTGTAGGGCGAGCCTGAACGGAGAACGGCTGTTGTAGAAGCCTGAACAATCACTCCATCTATCGCTCCCTGGTTCCTTCCGAACTCGGCTCTCCGAAGCTCTCGCTATCGATCCCCTGGTTTGGTTTCGCTTCGGTCATTCGGGTCATGGGAGTCCCACAAGGTCACTGAAGCCTAGAAGAAGCCGGTCATGACTGGCGACTGGCTGGCCCGGCTGGCCCGGCTGGCCGAGGGCTTGCTCCTCTTTGGGGGGACGATCATCACCCAAGAGGAACCACCAAAAGGAACTGCTGGCCTCGGTCATATGGGATGAGTCATGTATATATCGTCATGCAATGCACTTCAAGGGGGGGTTGACACGAGTTGTCCACTGGACGAGTTGTCCAATTGCACAGCGATCTCACCAGGCGCTGAACCAGCTTTGAAGCGCACAAGGAAAGGCAAGAATCCTCATCCCAAACGCTATGAATGGTTCTTCCTTCGAAAGGATCAGAATAGACTAGCAAGTAGCAAGTCACATTCAAGAAAAAGCTGCTGCAAGAAAAGACCCAATATTTTTCGTGAAGCTTCCTACGGGATGTGATCAGGCTCGGACCAAAAATCTTTGACGCAGAGTCCAAGATAGGGCAGCCACGTGGTCACTCATGAGGTGCACCCTACAGTCAAACATGAGTGAAGATTGGTCAGAAGCCGCGACTAATATAGCCATGATGCCTTCGGACAAATACTGATTTGGGGATCACTTCACCTTTGAAAGGATCCAATGCATACTCATCCTCTTGAAAATTCCCGTGAACGCCTCTCCCATCCATTTGGTGACCACTCTAGTTGCTTCCGTCCACTCGCCCCACCATTGTGCCCACCACGTGTGGCACCACGTGTGGCACCTGGCGACCCAAAGGCCCGGCAGAAGTTGAATGACGTTCGCCATGGAGTCAACCTGGTAGACTCGAGGAGAGACCATGGGCCCCACACTGGGCCCCACACACGACCGGTGGGACTGCCATAGTTGCCATATTGTAATATTAGTATTAATGATCCCACAATAGATAGTGGTACGGTTCCAATACATTCCAATACATTTTGAGTGGGGATCTACGAACTTCTATCCCACATTGGGGGTATATTGGCCTGGTCAGGCCAGAAGGGAGTCTGTCTGGGGCGGTGTCTTCCACAGGTCGTGTCAACGGGTACGAAGCCAGCGACCAAGAGCTGGAAAGCGGCGAACCTTTTCTGAGGAAACCCTGGGGCAGCAAACTCCCAGTAGTGTTGGTGTTTTTGTTGTTGTTGTTGTTGTTGTTGTTGTTGGTAGAGACAAAAACAGCTGCTCAACATAGTTGTCACATGTTGCCAGTCAGGGATTTCAAAGGGACACTGTTAGGGATAGGGTCGAAGGTTTGGAGAGATGTTAGTAGCTGGACTTCTTGTCGTTGTGGTACTCAAGTCTTGGTTGGTCTGATTCTTGCTTTTTGATGTTTTTTGGGGTGTTGTTCTGGAGGGGGGGTCAAAAAACAACAACTGGGCTGCAGATTTTGTTTCTGGGGGGGTAGAGACAACAACATCTCTTGAGGGGGGATCCAAAAAACAACAACAGGGCTACAGTTTTGGTCTCTAGGATGTGGTAGAGGTTCTAAGTAGAAGTTTTACAAAGGCTTAGCTGACCGGACTACCTGCTACTACTACTGCTACTACTACTACTACTACTCCTACGACCACTACAACAACGACTACTTTTAGTACTAGTACCACTAGTACTAGCAGTAGTACAAGCACTACCACTACTGGTAAAAGTATATGTTGGCTGGTTGTTTTCGGGGGGGTCAAAAAAACAACGACGGGCTGCAGATTTAGTTTCCACCCCCTTGAATGTTGTAACGGGGCTGCAGTTTTTGTTTGAACTTTGTTGTTGTTGTTGTTGTTGCTGTTGCTGTTGCTGTCGTTGTCGATGTCGTTGTCGTTGCCGTTGTGGTTGTTGTGGTCGTTGTGGTTGTGGTTGTTGTGGTTGTTGTTGTGTCACCTCCTGTCTAGAAGGACAACCACAGTTGTTTGGATTTAATATACTCCCATCAGTGTGTTGCTTTTCTTTCTGTCGATGACTGTTAAAACAAATCAAGAATCACACCCAAATCCGCACAAGTCGTCGTGCTGAGCCGTCCTGAGTCGTCGTGACTTCACGAAAATGGATGGGTTTTCCCACCCAGAGGCGACCCGAACGAAAGGCCCCGAACCAACTGCTACATGTTCTTTCTTCAGTTCACCCTGGCGGACTGAGGGTCAAAACCCGAGCGAACTGAGGGTCCAATGAGCCCTTGGGCACCACATAGAACCGCCCAATTAGGCACACCACAGGTCAGTTGGAAATCATTTCACAAAAACCAACCTCTAGATTCCTCTGGTCGAAAACTTTGTTGGCCCTTCACATCGTCGCAGAATCTGAAGGGTCGGCAACCGCTGGTTGCTAAAGAGACCTGCTGATTGGGTTGGCTCATAATCCGAGGGCCCAACTCACCTCTGCTTTGATGGGAAAAGACCATACTTTGGGTGGTTAGTGATCCAAAAAGAGGCTCTAGGTTTGTACCACAACGAGGTTCTGGGTCTGTTCTTGAGGTCCTTCGAGACACCAAAATACCTCCCCCGGTGACCCACTCAATGCGCCTGAGCCGTAGCTTGCAAAGCAGCATGACGTCGCTTGGCCCGGTGGTTCAGGAAGCGGATCTTTTTGGAGAATCTCTTTGATGATTTTTTGTCACAAAAGATCACAAATAGATGCGTTTAACTGTTAGTCGGTCATTTGCAAGTGAAACATATTGAAACATACTGCACATCGATATCTATATATTATATATATTATATATATATATATTAGATATATTATGATATGATGCTTAACTCTTAAACATTCTGGACCTGTCAATACCCGTGTGCTTCAGTGAGGCCCAACACTTCGCAGCTTGTACTTCGTAGGTGATGATTCCGGCAGGGTGGCCGCATCAATTAGTTGCTTCATCAGAGTAGGTGGAGTCAGAGTCATGGCGCGTTTGGGCACACGACACACCCTGAAAAGGCTCCTGGACCCGAATCAGAGATGGAACCCAAAACTTCTATCAACCCTTAAGAAAATGATGCTCCTCTCAACCTGGGGCTCAAAATGGTGATGTTCTTTTTGCTGCAATTCAAAGGTCGCTCACTTGGCTCATCTTGGGGCAACTACAGATGCATACATTTCTCCGTGTGGGGTTGCATTCCTGAGATAGACATATCTCTGAGGGTGCCTTGTAGTTTTCCTTCATCTGGTTCTTGAGCCTCGCGGAAGTGACTTGCATCTATATATATGTATATATATATATATATGTGGGCACATACCTCATACTGACATAGTCACAAATAGTGATCCTTCAGTAAATAAAATTATGGAACAAAAAAGCAGGGAGGCGCTCTAATTGCATCACCTAATTACATCAAAGAGTCATCGAGTTGGTCCTCGTTGGCGCCCTTCGGCCCAACAAAAGTGACCACGTCACAAGGGTGTCGCCCAATGGAGTCGTTTGTTCGGGCGTTCAGAAGTGGCGAAGAGACATGGACCTGACACGTTCGTACAGGTCATTGGGCGAATCCAGGAATGTCCAGAAAAAGTATCACAATGTATAACGAAGAGTCCCCAGTTTCAGGGATTCACCAAGGAAGCAACATCCAAATGATTTGCCCAAAGCATTGGCTTACCCAAACTTCCATACCAATCAATGGAGGCTACCAGAATTTCAGTGCTTTCCGATGGAGAGCACACAGGGTTGTATTTTTTTGCTATTCCCAGGTTTGCCCAGGGCTTGGAAGAAGGAAGGAGGAACAAGATCCTAATGTAGGCAATGTAAACTCTGTTTGCGTTCCACCCACCCCATTTGAACCCGACATCCTCTTATGGAGGGTTTATTGATCAAGAGCCTACAGTCTACACTACTTATTACTTGGAACTCCCGAACTCTTGCCAGACTGATGCCATCTCGCCCTCGCCACCTCTCCCAACAAAGCACTCCGCCACCGTTCTTCGCTGTGCCACTCCGCATCGCGTGGGTCGCGCGTGGGACCCAGCGGACCAGGCGCCCCCGACGTCTTCCCATGTCGCGCAGGTCGACCCCTGCGCCCAGAGGCCGTTCTCGGAACTCCGTGCATGGAAAGAAGGATCCGGAACTCGCTGGGAGCCCTTGAATTTGTGCGACGCCCAAAATGGGTGGGGAATATAGAAAGAACCTGTGCGGTGGTCGTGTCCGAAAGATCTTCAGCCCCATCCTCTACTCGAACTGAAGCGACCACCAAGTGAGCTCAGTGCAGCTGCAGCCAGTGCGTCGTGATGATTTCTGCTTTTTGATGACGAAAGAGCTAGGAATGAACGGAGACTTCTTCTGCTCCCTCTCTCGCTCCACGTGGAGCCTGGAAAAAGGCTTCACTCTCATGAACTGTGGAGATCTCATCCATCCGGAGGTCTCATCCAAACATGGTTCATGGGTGAACCTCATCCACCTCCTGTCAGAGGTCAGAGCTGCCGAATCTCTGGTCGGAATCCACGTCTGGTGCTTGGAGCAACTGTAGGAACTGATGGCCTTGCTGGGCCACCTTCTATGTGGCTTTAACTGTGCGACCATCTGCGCACTGTGGAACCAGTCTGCCAGGAACTATACTAGACCTGTTTTTATGTTTTTCTTTGTTTCTAATAGCGATGGCCTCCAACCCAATAGCCTTGGCCTCCAACTGAATAGCGATGGCCTCCAACCTATAAGCGATGGCCTCCACCTAGTAGCGATGGCCTCCAACCCAATAGCCTTGGCCTCCAACTTAATAGCGATGGCCTCCACCTAGTAGCAATGGCCTCCAGCCTAATAGCGATGGCCTCCAACCATATATAATATGCCTGGTCCAATGAAACGTCCTTGTGATCTTCTTCCAGTTTGTCCCAACTCACCCTGGTTTAATACACACTCGGAACTTCCGTTGATGAAGAGTTCCCATTAAGTCCACTGTCACAGGGCCCCAACAAAGCAATCACTTACTTGCATTTGCTTGTTCAGAACCAGGAAACTACAAAACATCTTCCCTAGAAGGGGAATTACCCATAGAGAACGTAACATCACCCTAAGTAGAACCAGGTTGAACCAGTTTTTCTGAACCACCAAAAGAGGCGGGTAAATCGGCCATCAGTGGCCTAGGGAGGTTTACAAAAAGAAACGAATGAATCGTGAAACCAATCATCATCACCCTTGACCTGCAGCTCAAGACATGCTTCTTGAACAGAACCGATGACCAGATCAAGAACGTCCCAAGCTCATAGAGAGTCTGACAAGTACCACCCTTTTTGAGCGAAAGAAACACCTGCAACAACCTGGGATAGCAGTTCCTAGGATACTTGGGACATTCTCAACCTCAGGTGGTGCAGAATGCCTCCTTCAACAGTAGAATTCATCAGCAAAATCCTGCGCGAGCTACCAGAAAGAACCGAACCCAGTCGGCGTGAAGCCCCGAGTTCGAAGCCACACGCGAGAAGGGCCAGACCTCATGGCACATGGGCCGTGCAGAAAGGCTGTGATGTGTTGACCTGGTGTGGGCCCATCGGTCCAAATGGATGGGGGTAATTGGGGGTACCCGGGTACAACCAAGAGCTCGGGGTACCACCAAGAGTCAATCATCCAACTGTTCCCGACCATCCGGTCGAAACCGTTCCATTCACCACAGCATCTTCCGACCAAGACTCGGCGGATAGCCATCCCACGAGCCTGGAACATGCGATGCCGTGAACGCGATCGATGTGTCCTGGCGGTCCGGAGGACGCTGGTCGACGTGCACCGAGGGGCCTTAGGCACCGGTTCGCACCGGCCTTTGGAGACATCTCTCGAGACACTGGGCCATCCGATGAACGTTGGAACTCCGTTTTGGTGGAAAGGAAGGCCAAGTTCGGTGGGCCTTTGTTGCCCCACTTTGACAATTGTGAGACATTGTTGGGTAGTTCCTTTGGTGTTTCGTATGTGGGATGCGAGATGACTAGAAACTGACCAAACCCAATGAACAACAAGGAAGAACCGTCAAAACCATAGTCTACCAGGAGTTTGGCTTACATCACCAAAAAAACATCAAGTAGGCATCTCTCCCACAAAGGGAAAACAAAAATTCTACACCAAGTAAGGCCGAGGGAAATGGGGATGGAAGTTCAAGATCATGTTCGGTCCCACGCCAAGTCCGCTTGGCCTCTGCCGAAACTGATTTAAAACATGCAGCAATAATATATTCTTAGATGCCCGAAAAGTTTGGCAATGTCGGGTTGTCCCACTTGCGCATCTCAAATTGATGCTTTACTTAAACTCGGACACACCAGTCCAGTCACCTTTTTCCGCATCACCGTCGATGCTTGTCCGTCATGGTCGCTATTTGCTCTGCTTTGCAGGACGCTCGCTCACAAATATGGAGACGATGAAGCCTTCCTTCTAGGAATTAGGTGCCCCTCAACCGACCTGCAAACCAGACCCCCATTTGCTATGGAACCGACATAGGAAGCATACCAGCTGCCGGCTTGAACAGCCCAACTACCAAACTTGGAGGAGTCCGTCACTTTGGGCATAGAGGCACGGAAAGGGCCATGGGAGCGCAAACAATCAACCGTGTCAAGCCAACCCACCCACACAAGCGAACACTTGCGACACCTCCTGCCAAAGGGTCCGGGGGGCATGATCCTCCCTGAAAACCTGCCCGAAAAGTTTCTCCAGGTCAATGTGACCACCGGGAAACCAAGACCGCTGGCTAGAGCCCTCCGCCCAAGCATGCAAGCACCTCAGACCCTTCTGGCCAGCCATCGAAAGTTCAACAGAAGTCTTGTGAAGCAGAGCAGCAAATCCAATGCCTACAGCCACTATCCACAGCCTCATCCTACAAACCTTGTTAGCGCGAAGCGGCCAAATCCGACTAAAGCCAAGGGCCTCAGCGTCATGGGGCAACAACACCAAGCAGGAGGATGTCACCAATTGCAAGCAAAAATCCCGGCTGAAGCGGTGCGACTTCTTCGCTGCAGATTGCCGGCAAAACCTCGAAGCAAATAGCACCCAAGCACATGGATCCTGCTTACCCAACGTCCAAGTCAGTCCCTTTGCCAGACGCCCCCTCTTCTAACACTTCCATCTAGGGTCCCCCGACCACATCCAGTCAAGACATGGTGAGCTTGCGCCATGCAAGTCACAGGCTCTACGGCACACAGCAGTGGCATGAAACCAATGCAACACCTGAATGCCAAGCTTCTGCAAAACTGACCGACGCAAAAGGAGCAAAAGAATGCGCACCTGGCGAATGCGAGCTTCAAGAACGAAGGTAAGGAATACCAAGGAGATCAGCATCATGCGCAATCTGCCATGATTGAGCACAGGCAAGCCGGTGCAGGACCTCACGGGGCGCTCGATCATCGACATCGATAAGGACAGCACAGTTAGACCGCATCCCTCAGGACAGTTCTCCAGACTCGAATGAGCTCGCGTGGCAGTCTTGACTGACCAGCCCGTGGAGATGGCTCTTGGTCGCGTCCGGAGCATTGAGGCCTGCTGGGGCCAACGTCATCTTCTAACATGGGGTCATCCACTACCAAGCTGAACCTGTTAGGACCAAGCATGGCACTCCGGAGAGGGCGTCTGTGCAAGCCAGGTGGGGGTCAAGTCACAGAGGACTTGCAAACTCAGTGACTTCTGAGGGAAGCGCCGTGGAAAAGCACGCCTTTCCAGAGGATTGCTGACCAAACAAACCTCACCTGGGGGAAAGGCCCCCCCACTGCCGACAGAACTTGATATGGACATCGACCTACGTGCCCCCATTCCCGATGAGAATACTGCATCTACGGAGCCGATGAACCATCGACGGCCGTGGCGCATGCAAAACAGAGTGCCTAGCACTACCTGCAGTATGTTGAGGAGACCAGTCTCAAGGCCCATGAAGCCCTGCTACCATCTGCTACCAAGCACCATCCAAGAACGAGCAGGGAGCTTGTGCCACTCTTCAAACAAAATCCTAGTTACCTAAATAAACATAGAGCCAGCCTTGCTTCTTTGGTATTGGTGCTTACTATGGTTACTGTGGTGATTACACCAAAAATTCTAGATAGACTGACTGGGTATGTTGTTGGAATCCTTGAAGACAACAGCTCTGGGCAACTACATGACCCCTACAAGGTTGCAGGAACCCAAGGGGTCAAAAAACAAACTCTGGTTGACTCTGTCTATGTATGACCTCCTTTATCTGTAGAGCGACTCTGTCTTGTTATCTTCCCGAGGCCTTGCGACATCTTGTGACGTCCCAACTGCCATCGGAAGTTGGTGTGTAAAAATGTGCTACACGAGTCACGACCTTCCGCCCTCGTTGCGCCCATGGTCTTGGTTTTGCAGCGCTGCCGTCCCCGTCCCCAAATCACCAGGGGCAACGGTCATGCGCGACCTCTTGAGCGTCAAAAGAATCCCGCCACACCCCTCAGGTTGCCATGGACGGTGAAGATCCCAGGCAACGACCAACGGGAAGGAAAATTGACCAGTCTACCCAGCCAGGACCAGGTTGTCTCCCTAAAAGACACACTCATGTTGGCTGGAATGATATCAGGACAGCGGTGGTGATGGTGGTGGCTGTAGTGGCTGTGGCGGTGGTGGTGGTGGTGGTGGTGGTGGTGGTCATGGTCCTCATGGTGCTCATGGTGCTCATAGTGCTCCTGGTGGTTGTGGTGGTTGTGGTGGTGGCGGTGGCGGCGGCGGCGGTCGCAATGCAGAACAGGTAAAAAAATGAAACGATATGAGCGCTAGTATCCATTGCAGAACAAAAAAAGGTGTAATTTCCACGGGTATTCATGATCAGTTTTGTTGGCTGAAAGAGTGAGTTCGGACACTTGATGAAATCGTCCATGGCAGCAGGGGCCAAAAGTGCAGAAAAAGACCTCTCTCAGGCAGAGAAGGCTGAGACACCAGGAAGCACTTGGTTCTGGTGCGCCTTCCCAAGGTTGAAATTGCTATCATATGTTCATATATGTTCATACGGAAATCCACCAAAGAAAGAAGTAAGTCCTTGTGATTTGAGCTAAGACCTCTGAATTGAGTGCATATATGTGTATTATATATATATATCGGAGCTGCTTGAGCTGTTGCCTAGATATTCCGGGGAGGGCAGCCTCTGGCTAGATGCAGAGCGGGAGGATTCGCCGTCCGGGTCGTCCGGGGTCGTCAGGGTCGGCTCGGTTGAGCACACCACTGATCGAACTGAGCTTTTGTAATGGAACTCATATGATTTGGGGTCAAAGGGGCCCACAAAAGAACCTGCACTTGTGGACGGCTACCCTTCTGGCCCTTCTGACCGTATCACTTTTATCAGTCTGGTCGGATCTGGCCTTCTCTTCCCCTGCTGCGCGTTCGGGCGCTTCTCCCGTGCTCCGCCGGTCTGTCGTTTGGAAGGCCTTCCGTCTTATGCTTTCCACCCACGGCCGTCGTGATGGCTTGTCACCCGTGGCACCGATGTGAGTGCGCCAATGATGATCACCCGTTTGACCACCCGGATTTTTGTGGGTTCGGACGGCTTGTCACCCGTGACATCGACGTCCGGACAGCCACTTCAGAGGTCTCCGAGTTTGGAAGAACAAGGCACCAGAGCTTCAAAGCAACTATTTGGATGGATGTTCGTTCTTCAAATGCTTGGATTTGGCTCATGGAACGGGAAACGATACAAAATAGTCCCCATGAAGGGGATGACCCAGTTCGGAAAACTCAACATCACTAAAAAAAAAGAAAACCGGAATGATAATAATGTTGCAAATCCCTATATAAGTCTTCAGATTAACAACATGGGCGGACTTTGGACTATATAATGATGACCATGATGAATAACACTGGGGCCTGCAAAAATTGACCCGGTCCTGTACTCAACAAACCAAGTGGGCATGACTGCTTATGGTGGGCAATCATCCAAATTACCTGGAGCAGCTGGCTGTTTGGGGGAAACAAACAAGCAATCTACTGGATGAAAATCTCCTCATTTGGATTCAAACGTGCCCCCTAACCTCAAGGTCCTTTGAATGAGGAGTGAAGCTAAAACCCAACCAACAAAATGTCGAGAATCACGTCTTCTGTTACACAAATGACGCCATATGACCTAGCCAATTTCTTGAAAGAAACCCAGAACATGCGCTGCGATGCACAGGCTGTTCTCTGTCCCCATCACATCAATCAGTTCTAACCAGTCACCTGTCAAATTTTGATGCGTGCAGAAATAGCAGCATTCGGTCGCTTTGGGCGCAAAAAAAATGCAGAAATAGCGTGGACACACCATGCACAACATCTCATGCCATGGGGCGCAGCAAAAATAACCACCACAGAGCCATGGGATCTAGTTTGACTCCCTGTGGCGAGGGCCCCAGCGAGTGAAAAAATGCTCACAGAAAAGACCTGCATTGCACCGCCATGAAGAGCCCCCAAAGCCAATTCATCCAAGGCAACGAATTTCCGCAAGAAATATCCCTCGTGGGTGTTGGGTTGGAGGGTTAAACCCTGGCATCTTATAGTGACATATGCTCTATAAAATAGGTAAACCGGGCTCAAATCTCTATAAAATGCAGGGGCTGGCACATATATCACATGCAAACCAGGTTTCAAACATCTGAATACAATCACTGTCATATACTCCTCATGTTATACAAAACATGCCCAGGGGATCAAGAAGCTGTGTGTTTCATGGAAGCTGGTTCCCCTGCCCGAACAACTATGATGTTCATTGAACAGGAACCCACCGGTCAAACAGGGTCCAACCGT